CCAAATGAGATGCTTGAAACGATCGCTCAAAAACACATGATCACCGACAGCTGTGGGTCGAAACCTGGACATCCCACTGCTATCCTTAGATCCTGCGGGACGAAACTGGGTCCTCCCAAACGTGTTTATGATTCATAGATCCCATAGAGTCAATATAGATATCATAGATAGTTATCTATGATTCTCAGATTTTTTGGATTCTTAGATATTATCAGATGACATGACAATTTATGATATTTCTGACATTTGATCATGATTCTCAGATATATTGTCTAAGAATAACCGAGAAGGGAGAGTTCGGGTATATTATGTTATAACTATTTATAATTAAATCATATTCTTGGATATTCTCAGACATCAGAAATGAGCAAAGACTAGTTCGTGGACGCCCGGACCATCTTGACCCCATGTCCCTTCGAAAATCGCCATTCTTCGCCATGTTCTTTTGGGCCCCAGCCAGAAGGCACAAGCAAATGAAGGCAATGGTGCCCGTCCAAACCTTAGATCCAATGCTTCCAATCCATGGGGGTAGACCCAAATCATCCAAAAAATCGGCCATGACTTAGTGACTTGAAACCTTTGGTGACGACTGGGGATACTCCCTTTTAGATCCTTTTAGGACATCTGAAAGCCAAACGACTTTGGATTGCGAACGCCGAACAACATTTTCTCGGAGAAAAGGGTGTGTTGATTGGCCTCACATGGGCATGTCTGAAAGTGTAATACCCCCAAATCCATGGGTTTTTCATCATTTTGCCTAGCAAAATCATGCTGGTCATTTTCAGTAAGTAAATCGGGTAAATCCAGCATTGTGAGACTCACCCAAGTCCATTCCTCATTGCTCCATAGTCTTCATCAAATGAGGCTGGGTCAAAACCCTGGTACCTAGTGAACCCCAAAATAGCTGGTAAATGGATGTTCATCCCACTAAAGTCATGTATCTATAGGTATTGATCCATAGCCAAATCATGTCAGATTATTGTTAATAACTAATTGTCTAATTCCTCATTGCTCCATAGATTCCCATAGTCTTCATCAAATGAATCAATTCCATCAATTCCCAAATCTCAGTGGTGCCATTTTTGGGTTCCAACTCCACACTGTGCCGGGCCACGGCCCGCGACTGCTGAGGGGTAAGTTCTGGAGTTCGATCGCCTGGGAGAGGGGTGAAGCCTTTTTAAAATGGGAATGATAAGGTGATTTAGGAATGGAAGACTGAATGGAAATTAGGAATTAGTCATGGAACATAGGGGATGATAGATTTTTTTCAATCAAACATGGATATTTAAGAATGATTGAAATGACATAGTTTTGGGGAAATAGAGATAATAATGGAATAACTGGGATAACATGGCATGGGATCATTCATGGGATCCAATCATGATTTTGGAATTCATTAGTGAGAAATCTATAGACATTTGGGAGTCAATCATGATTGCAATGGAATAATTTCGGGAAGAATAATGATATTACCCTCTGGTAATTTAACATAGCTATGGAAAATCACAATTTTTAATGGGTAAATCCACTATTTCAATGGCCATATTCAATAGCTATGTTAGTTTACCAGAGGGTAATGGATAATAATGGGATATTCCCCAGTCTACATCCATCAACAAGGAGATTTTTCAGCATAATGATAGTGGGAATTTCGGAATATCTCATCAACATATTTCCCAGCACCAATTGGAATCATCATGGGAAACTAGAGATGACAATGGAATCTTGGGATAAAACATACGTATTTTTCTTATCCTCGGAATGATCATTGCGATTGAATGGAAGATTATTAAGAACTACTATAGTGGATAATCATGGAATCATCTGCTGTGCATCCAGTGGTAGCATGTATTTAAACACTGTGTCAAGTGTCCATGTAAGTTTCAAGATTGCAATATCTCGCAACTTTCCCTTGCGAATCACTGATAGATATCTGGTTAATGGTTTTAACCATCTTGAACAATATTAGTCAATGGGAAGGATTATCCCATATATCATGGAAAAAACATGTTTGAAACCACCAACCAGATATGGTTAAATCATGCTATGCCAATTCATCATTTTTACCCCGTTCTTGCTGACTAAACCCATCACATTTCCCAGCTGTCAGTCCTGCAGCGAAGGAATGGTGGCACCTGGGTAAGGAACAGACCATGACTCAGCCACAGGTCAAAATGCTTGAAAACAAACCATCAACCACCATCCCAGTTGGATAGTTTTGGTTAATGTAAGAACCATTCACCTCCATTCAATGAAGGTTTTATAATTTTTTTGTCACCCATGAAGCTTTGAACCATGTCGCCAAGCAACCAAATCCAAACAATTAGACAATTAGTTATTAACAATAATCTGACATGATTTGACATGGGTATGGGTCAATACCTATTAATACCATTTTTAGGGGAATGAACATCCATTTACCAGCTATTTTGATGTTCACCAGGGGTACAAGGTTTTGACACATGATTTGACATCACAAAATACCACAAAAGCCACCAATCCCATTGGCCCATTGGCATCTACTCCAACATCCACACTTTCCATTTTCTTCTCCCGTCGCAGTGGTGCTGCCATGTGCTCCCTGCAGGGTGGGCAATGACGAGGGGGTCAGGCAAAGTTCTGAACACAAACCAACCAGACAGGACCTTAATCAACCATGAATCAACGGGAAAAACTGGTGGTTTGGAACCCCTCTGGGTTCCAAATCAAACAGCAGATGTTTGAAACAGCCGAGTTTTTGGCAGCTATTCCCGCCCCCAAAATGGCGCTACAACTAGGCAGGATGTGGTCGTCCCACATCGTGGTCTGACGAAGGCTCCACATGGTAAACCATCCCTATGATGTATTGACCTCTTTGCTTGACAACCCAAAGCCAAAGCACGTGTCCCTCTTACTCCATCTAAAACCATCTAAAAGCCTGTGGGGAATCCAATACCATGGGAGGGTTTATACAAGCCATTTATGATTATATATGATTACATACATATATACATATATACATATATACATATATATACATAGATACATAGATACATACATAGATACATAGATAGATAGATAGATAGATAGATAGACAGACAGACAAATAGATAGATTAATTACATAACATAACATAACATAACATTACAATACAATACAATACAATACTATACATACCATTACATTACATTACATTACATTACTTTACATTACACTACACTACACTACATTACCTTACCTTACCTTACCTTACGTTACGTTACGTTATGTTACATTACATTACATTACTTTACATTACATTACCTTACACTACACTACACTACATTACCTTACCTTACCTTACCTTACGTTACGTTACGTTACGTTACATACGTTACATACCATACCATACCATACCATACCCCATACCAACCATACCATTACATACATACATACCATACCATACCATACCATACATACATACATACATACATACATACATACATACATACATACATTACATACATTACATACATACAGATTTAAACATATATACATATCCAGCTATATGCTTATTGGGTTTACCAAATTTGAAACTTCAAGAGACACCAAACTGAGCCATGGCCCTAGAGTGCCAGATGTTGGCAATGCCACGGAAGAAACTTTTGAATGCAGCAGTTTATGGAAGTGTTTGTGTGAGGAAAATGTGTGAAAACTTAGTATGTCTTAGTCAAAACTTCCACCGTAAATTGAACCTCGAGTTGAGTTGAGGGAAACACACAGACTCGATGTAACTGGCTTGAATTTGCTGAATCTGGTGTAGAGGTTTCCAAAACAAATCACATTTTCACAAGAATCAGCAAATGGTGGATTATAGAATTCACAAAATATATAAGACCACAGCTTTAGCTGAAAAATCCATATGACATGACCATGTGTGTGACTCGGCCTACGGGCCCAATTTTCAACTCATGAGTCACAGCGCTTCAGGATTGGGGTTCAACACCACAGTTGCAGGGCTACAAGTCACCTCACAAGTGCTAACTCAGCCCTTCTCATCACCACTCTACGGCCTCAAAGCTTCGCTCGCGTGGTCATTGGCGGCCGAAGCATGGCATACATTTTGAGGTCCACGTCAAACCTGCTTGATGGATGCTGGGTCAACGTTTTGTGGCAAAATCCAGGGGATTCGTTGTGATACTGTTGATAGTTCTTCCTATCTGTTTAACAAATAGCACTGCTTTGTAAGCAAACATGTACCAACACAATATGCAACCGAGACAACCACGAACATGTCATGACCAATATCTGTCTGAATATTCGCTAAAAGAAGCAAGTTCATGGAACCACACAGCCCCGCAGAAATCCCAAACTTTCCAGTGCCCAACGGCGCACCCCTGGATTTCATCCTCGCGGCTCTCTTTGGCCACGACGCAGAACTGAGTGGAGTGGAAGCGGAACGGGGAGGTCGGGTTGATATATTCCGTATTTTCGGACACACGTGACCTATATGCTTGTTTTTCTAAAATCACCTTGATATCACCTTCGCAACTGAGACAAAACTGCATCCAACATCTTCAAGACTCCATACCAAACAGCTGGAAATACAACCTGCAAGGTCAAGTTTTTTTCACAACCCTGGAACCTCCTGATTCAGATGTAAGTTCACTGGCTTTAGAACAGAGTCTGCTGAGGAGACGACACTTCCTGATGAACTGTAAGAACTTGTCGTTTTAACATGAGGGAACATTAAGGTGGCTTGGATCCCAACAGCCTCTATCCACTATGCAGTCTAATTTATACTCTAATCATTGCATATCAATGTCCCCAGAGGTGTTCTCATCCCTCCACATTCTTCAAGCTGAGACACCTCCTTTTCCACTCTGAACTTCTTCTTCGTATAAATGGCCACATTTTGCAGCCTGCTTGTCTCCTCCGGTGTCAAAGCCACCAGGTCGAAATGTGACCTATCCCAATATCCAGTCCGTGAAACAAGCTCCGGGCCCATCAATTCACCGATGTTCAGGTGAAGACCATCACAGCTACACCCACCCGCTGTCCAGGTAGCAAGGGAACACATCGCGATCCTGGAGGGTATCTCTGAAACTCAACATTTTTAGTGCAGGAATGTTCAACGGCTTTCTTGCAACATTTTTTTCATTTCCATGTTGGTTTCCCCAGGGAAATCATCTATGAAAAATTGAACGATACTGCAGGTTTCAAAAATGGCGAAAACCATCGAAAACCACTCGCTCCATCCCACATGTTCTTCTTTTTAATCGACATTCTACTTGGGTTCCGCAAAATGGGGGATGCCCAAAGAGTATGTGTGTATGTGTATATATATATAATATGCACATGGGGACAATATCACTTGTCTCAACCATGGCGCATTTGAGGTTCCAGATTTCTTTTTCGGCGTTTCCGCAGGGTTTTCCAATGTCCGCTGCTCCCCTGGATCGCTGCAACCTGCAACTTCTGGATCTCATCCAGGAGCAGAGTTCCAACCCCCCGACCTGTCGGGCACATCTCAAAACACCAAGAACCACTGGAAGAAAAATAAACTGTGAAGATCATATGACATCATACAACGACATGGAATCTTTCAGCAAGACTCTAGAAACATGGAGGGGATTCCAAGCCGCTTGCAAAACGAGAGACCTCACAATATTTTCAACTCCAAACCCGGCAGACCAAGACTTCCAAGTAGGACAGGCAATTTGAGTATGTTAATCTACCATCATCTACCCATGCTGTGTATGCTCCACATTCTCAAGCAGCTCCCTGGGAGGCCCTCGCCTTGGACGTGGGGTTTCACTGCCAGAAACCACAAATACCAATGCCTCGCTTGATCAAGCCGTTGCAGAGACGCCATTGCCATGCAGCATCAAGAACCATCCAAATCAAATCAAATCAAACCACGTCACATTTTGGGCGTGTCTGAAAATAGCTTGTATACATGTATGTATTTATGTATGTACATGATATATATATATATATCACACTCAACATAATAAACAATGCAGCAGATCTTGAATGGTTCCCAGCATTTTTTTGCCATGCCACGGCATGTTTGCCAGCTGTCGATGCGTATCTCTGGTAATGGTACTCAATGCCTCAGCTGCACCGATGACATGTCGAAGGTCTGTTGCGTCCTGGGTGACGTGTGGGGTCTGTGGAGATCAAAATACAGTTCAATATATACCCCACAGGAAGGCCCAAGAAATGGGGGTACCCCCAAATGGATGGTTTATAATGCAAAATACCATTAAAATGGATGATGTGGGGGTAGCCCTATTTCAGGAAACCTCCATGTAAGTTGGTTTATAACTAGGCTAATTAAGACTTATCGTAAAGATATCTATAGTTGCATCGGGTCCTATAACTGTGGGGGGCCCTTCCTGTAACCCTTCCTGTAGCTGTTGAAATATTAGGAGACATAGGCAACCAGAGTCAGAGTTGGTAAGACAATAACATACAATCAGCATCAACCAGCATTCTTGCCATCGCTTCAGTCTAGCATTAGCGTTGTAGAATCAAACATGCGCTTCAAAAATCAAATCCGTCATTTGAAGGATTGGGTCACTCCCGAATTCAGCTCTATCTCTTTACGCCACCCCCTGGCACATGCAATGCTCATCCAACGATTCCGATTTCGGCAGCATGGCTATCGTTCACACCTCTCCGGAATGTTCAACCATTGGCAATGGAAAATCCATGGAAAATCCTCCACTTATAGATGACGTTGCCCTTAAAACCCTCCATGTACTTCGGGAATTTAAGGGGATTTGCCCTCTCCCCCCGTCAACACAGCTGCCAAAGGACCCGCTCACGGCGACGGGCCGCGCGGCCCCAAGAAACCTATCTGAGTTCGCAGGGGGGTCGAAGGGAAAGGCCTCTGGTCGTTGAACAAAAATGGGGACTGTTCCACTCAAAGACTGGGCAAGAGGCAACCAAAATATTCAGATTTCACTTTCCTGATGTAAGAAAAGGATTTTCTATGACTTGAATATGTTACATACGGGAATTCAAAGATTCAATGAACAAAAACGGAAACGGCCATCTTGTCACTTGCCGCGTCTGGCTGGAAATTCACTAAGAATCGGAATCGGAACGTAGATTAGCACAGCGGACAGTCAAGAATGCTACAGATCTGTTAAACTACTGCAAAACCTTGCCAGGTACACTGGGACTGACAACAAACGATCAACAAGGTGTTGTTTGCCCCCATTACAGTATCGGTTTCAACATTCAAAACGATACCATGCATTCGAAAGCCCCAAATGCTACGAGCGGACCATCATTTCAGACAAGGATGTGGGAGGTAAGGATGAGAGGAGACATACTTGATAATATAGTTGATTTACCCATTAGAAATGGTGATTTTCCATAGCTATGTTAGTTTACCAGAGGGTAACACCACCCACTACTTGAGTTGTTATAAACTCATTCATCCAAGGCATCACATGATGGTCAATCATGGTCATCCGCTTGTCAGACCCAAACCTGCACCTTCTTTGATCGAAAACTTCGATGAAAAGGTGGAAGACCCACACCTGGGCTCATCCAAGATGGTACGCAGCTAGTTTCATTGTACCCAATTGCAAAGTTGCTTCCAAAGGTAGTAAGATCTAGCCAGCGGATTCCAGCAATGATTCAGATCTTCACCATATACTCTTAAACAAGTCAAATAATCCTAAGATACGGTCATCCAAAGATATCCACACATCTTCATCAACATCCCATAAACCATATCTATCCACAAATATTCATAAACCATATCCAACAATATTCAGACACTGTCAAGTCTTCGCATTCGAAGTCGTCAACCCAATTCGGAACGCACCTGACGTCTTCGTGAGCTCGGCCAGACCCACATCCTGAGACCAACACAGTGAACATCACATGTGGCTCCAGAGGTTGGATACGAAATTTGATCCAAAAAACAGGAGAAAGTGGTACCCTCTGGTAATTTAACATAGCTATTGAACATGGCCATTTACTGTATATATAGTGGATTTACCCATTAAAAATGGTGATTTTCCATAGGTATGTATACACTTGAAGATTCGTTTTAACGGACAAGTCAACTATAGTAAACTTCTTCCCCCCTCGACCTAAGTTTGCTGAAACCAGGGTCTGGTGTTTAAATGTGTTTCATACCATGGTACCAGGGCTTTTATACCAAAATTCAGTTTGTTTTTATAGCTTGATTTTCATCCCCCCATCAAGCCACGGATTGAAACCTCAGGTGGCATGACACATCGCCACTGTAATGATCAAACATGGCACTTGAATTCACCCAGTTGTTTTAGATGTCCCTGTTCCAATGGTGATTGCCACATTGCCAGGTTTCATATCGAGATCGGCCAGGCACAGTACCTCTTTCCCACCTTCCCCCCGCCTCCAAGCGTGTTTCAGGTGGTATCAACAAGGCCACACCCAGCATTTGGTCCTGGTAATGTCCCGGTGTTCCTAATATCATCATGAAATAGTGATCAAAAGCCTATTTCTGTGGGTCAAATCCACATCTCTCTACATTATGCATTGTTATCCCCATTACCCTCTGGTAAGCGTTTACACAAAACTATGGAACGATCCACCATGCTATTAATGGGTAAATCCACTATTTCAATGGCCATTTTCAATAGCTATTTGTACGTATGTTTACCAGAGGCTACATTTGAAAAAACATGGTGGGTCAGTTGATCATTGATTTCCCCATTCAAATGACTGTTTTGGGGTATCCGTCATTTTCAGGCACGCCCATATAGTCCCCGTTTTTGTTTGTCTAAACAACGTTTCCTGAAAAAAAGGTAACCACCAAAGTGTCAAAGTCATAAGGCTATACAACAAATTAAAACAATTAGTTTTTCAATCCATGGGTTTAGGGCACCGCCTATTTCTGGAAATACCTAGCTGGCAAATTGTCACCACATGGGTTTGTCGGAACAGATGCCAATCCACATCAAAAATGGCAATTTTGCAATTTTGGGGTATACTCCATGTTTGGACAGACCCACGTATCATATTGTTGATTATGCATATACTGGTGTATCTCATTACATCCCATATCATATATCCCCATACAATGAGTTGTACCCCCCATTTCTGTTGGCTAAATGCTTCTCAATATCATGAATAGTGATCAAAAGCCTATTTCTGTTGGTCAAATCTACATCTCTTCACATTATGGATTGTTATCCCCATTATAGATACCCTCTGTTAAACGTTTACATAACTATGGAAAATCACCATGCTATTAATGGGTAACTCCACTATTTCAATGGCCATTTTCAATAGCTATTTCAAATTACCAGAGGGCATAGATAGCAATGGGATATCAATGGATATATCTTGTAATTTAACAGTTTGCTATTGAAGCCATGGCCATTGAACTAGTTGATTTTCCCATTAAACATGGTGGATCTTTCCAGTTCGCTTTTTGCAAACGTTTACCAGGCCGGGTATCAATGGAGATATCCAACGTCCTACAACCCATGATCTCCCCACGTCCCATTGGGTCCTCTCCATCCTCTCCGTCCTCTCGGACAGCCAAAGAGAGCCCACGCACTGCTAGAATCACCTGAGATGATCAGCCATCGGGGATAGCCATTGATACTGCCGAATTATATCTTGTAAAATGGCTACTGATATTAGTGAATTATATATGTTATTAGCCATCATAATATATATCATATATCAATATTATAATGATATATATATATGTGATTATGATATTGATATATGATGGACCCATCTATTCGGCAGTATGATATATCTATAATATTGATCAATATATAAACCATAGAAACTGCGATGATCTAAACCATGCTACTAAAATATGGTAAAACATTGTAAACCAAATTCATTCCAAGTGGATAGACCAGAAAAACATATCGGAAGTTTGATCCTGTCACCACCTGGGATGCACATTCAAGTATCACTAACAAGGACTATCCGGGACTTGGGGCAGACCACGACGACTTACTGGGCTTTCGGAACCATCGTCCTACTAACGCCCTCGGGGAAGATTTTGTTGGGCAATTTATACCATTTTGGCGCAAGGAACGCTCATGTGTGTTGTGCCCCTTTAAGATATAGAAAAAACTTCATCCAAATATATCCATATGGTTGAAACCATATCAAATTGTATATATATATAAGATCCCTTAAATATCCCACTAATTGTTGGATATTAAGCAGCTGTCCAACAATAATTGGGGTTATAGCTATCATAGTATGATATAATGACAGTTATGATCCAATATATTCAATATATCAATTAAGCAGTTATACAGTTGGTTGCCCCCCAATTCTTGTTGCTCTCCACATGCTCTCCACCGCCGAATCACATGCACGGCTAAGGCGGCCAACCAGCGAACGTATCCTGAAGAATTGAAGCGGTCTTCCCCAGAACAATTGGGAGATTGAACTGATTGAACCAGTACATTTAGTATACACATTGGGTAATGGAATAATAGGTATTAGAATACTCACATTAGGACATTCAATGGGTATTAGTGTATACTGTGTATATATATAATTATATATATATATATATACATAAACGATCATAAACGTTGTACCTTCAAACATTGGGAATCTGCAATTTAATGGATTTCACCGGGAAAAAAAGAAATCACTCAACCCACGCAAACAGGTAACAAGCGTAAAACATGAGGATTTGGCCAAGCAAACATGGGGACTCAACCAATGGAAGATGATACCCAACCAATTGAGCTTTGAGCAGTGCCCAGTTTGTCATCTGCGAACGCGCCTTCTACAGTGGTAGTCATGGTTTCTTCATAGAGATGCGCTCATGAACAGTGGATGATAGCCTCATGAAATCTACAGTATAATCTGTTGGGAAAACATACTGCATAGAATACATGACATTGACTGACATTGACCGCATTATAACTCTGAGGTTCCCAGCCTCTAAAAACTACAGTATCACTGACGCAGCAACCAGGACGCTTAAAACTCATGGCATCGCGGTATCGCCAAGATGCGCAGGTATTGCCCCTCTGATCCCGCTTCAGTGCCAACAACCCAGCGGAAACCTCAGCTGTTCCAATTCGATACCATCCGAGGGTCATATCTCCTTTTGGATGCTTAAAAAGGTAAGGTCACTTTTGGGCTCCGGTAGTCTAACATAGATATAGAGGGCCCAGCATTTAAGTAGATCATAATTTCTGTGGCTTTTCCGATAGGCGAAATCCACATCATCCCAGTTGAATAGAACATCATTAACTGGTTGGTGGTATACCTACCCCTCTGAAAAATATGAACGTCAGTTGGGATGATGAAATTCCCAACTGAATGGGAAAAAAACAAGTTGCAAATCACCAACCAGACATGTAATTAGACTATACCAATGGAATAAACCAACCAGGAACCTCTGAAGAAATCCCTCTGCGAGGCGCTGGGTTCATCATTAAAGGCGGCCACCAGAAGTTCGATGGCTTCATCTCCTGACCATGATTTGACGAAGAAACTCTTATTTTACCATGATAAGAATTACTATTAGTTCATGAAGAAACATCATAATATATGATAATCATTATGTGAACTTGACCATGAAATTTGATAATTATTTGCCATGAATAATGATTAATAATGAATAATGATGACGATTTCTATGTTCACCAGTTCATAGCTTATTCTAACTTTTTTTAAACTTGAAAAAAAGCGCGACAAATGCAAAAAATGGAACAACCAAAAAGCAAGTCAGCAAAATCCAAAAACACAAAAGCAAAATAAAAGGGGAAAAAGAGGGCAAAAAAGGAAAGTCAAAAAGGGAAAAAATGGATGTGTCCATTTGCATTTTTTTCATTTATTTTGCTTTCTCGATTTGCTTTTTGTTTTTTCCATTTATTTTGCATTTGTCGCGCTTTTTTCAAGTTTTAAGAAAAATAGAATAAGCTATAGAGGAGAACATAAGACTATTTTACCATGAACACTGATTCAATAGGATAATATCCTGAAAACATCTGAAAACGAGGGATTTTCACCAACGGAAATAAGAGATCTGCCCGCTGGGCGCTCCTGATCAGGCAATCAATGAAGGTCAACACTTGAGTACCCCGAAGTTTCCAAAATTCGACCGTTGTGTCCATCAATATTATTTAATATTCATATGTTAATAGTGTATATAATTATATACATATATAGATACACTGTGTGTATATATATATATTATACTGTTATACCATGCTATAGCATCTTATACCATCATATTCAAATTGTTGGCCACTCCATCATGGATATCGTGGGGATCTTTTTATCAACAGGAATCTGCTGAGGCAGAACCATTCTCTGCAAGATCAAAACGGATATTCGGATTGATATATTCTATGATATTCTACTCCAAAACGACATCAATGTCTTATCTCAAAAAATGAACAAGATCCATTTCCATTCAGACAGATGTCTCTGAGAAACAACCGTTTTTTTGTTTTGCTCTGAATGGCGGATGCACCACTTTGCAGGGCAAAGTGGAACATTAGGCCCATTAGGCTAAAGGTATCAGTCGCACACACACACATACACAGGGAAATGTTCCATTCAAGCATCATCATAGAATCATAGTTACCAAGCCCACTTCAGTGGGTTTGTCTGAACATTTTGGGACACCCCAAGATTCAGCCAAGTAGAGAAAATCATGTTTCCCATGGAAATAACATGAAATAACCCTAAATCAAATTGGGCTAACACCCCACTGAAATCCGATTGTTCACCAGAGCCGGAGGTAAGGGCCCCCGATTTGCAGACACATCTATCTCGGAATTGCTGAAACATAGGTTGTTCACGGCTTTCGTTAAAAATGCGGGTATACCACATTTTCAGACATTTTCAAACACATTTTCAGCCACTTTGAACATCTTATCTTAGTATATATATATATACTATATATATATAGTATATAATATATACTATATATATAATATACTATATATATGTATATATATATATATACTATATATATAAATATACTATATATATACTATATATATAAATATACTATATATATATATACTATATATATATATACTATATATATATAAATATACTATATATATAATATATACTATATATATAAATATACTACATATATGTATATATACTATATATATATATAAATATACTACATATATGTATATATACTATATATATAGACATACACTATAATTAGAACGACCATTTTTCCAATTTTCCCACCAGTTCCAGTTCCGCGGTTTTTCAAAACGTCGAGTCTCTTAGGGCTGGAGTTGAGAAATCCACCAAGCCGGCACTGAGCTGCGACATCCATGGCGAAGCTGAAGGTTTTTGCGAATGACTCGAGTATTCCTAGGGTTGACTCTAGAGAAAAGATGAGAAAAGATGATTGAATGCTATAGGTTGAAAGGGATAAAAAATGATGGTTTAGCTATAGGTATTCCAAGATGTGTATAGATTTCTGATGATTTCAATTGAATGATGGTTTAGCTTTTTGGGTATTCCAAGATGTGTATAGATTTCTGCGGAAATCTAAGGTGTTCCATCCAATTCTGGGATTTTTCTGAACCCCATGGGGATCATCATACCGTGTTCAGGATGGAAAGGTCACATGTTTTTAGAAACTACAAACGACAAATAACGACAAACTGCAGTTGATTTCATTGGTTTCATGTTGATGGTCTGGACAAATCACATATTGTCTATTCAGATGCATTTGCATGACCAAAACCCTTGATATCAACAACTATCACTACGAGATTGTTCAGGTTGAGGTGTTGCATCTGTAGCAACCCCCAAAAAATAGAAACCTAAAATCCTAGTAACATATTGATAAATTACTTGTCTATCTTTGGGGGGATTACTATAATCCAAAAGCTTTCAGCTTGCATTCTATTCCATGATTGCTATGGAGCAGCCCAGCTGACTCAGCATGCTGGGTTGAACCCACACACACAACGGTGCAAACAGTGAAAAACTTGAAATTCTGCTTTGCGAAAACGTCTGAAAGATTGGCTTCAAACCAACCAACAAGTACCACATAGCTCTCCCAAGGAGAGATTCGATCCTTCTACTTCCGCACGTTGGAATTTGTCATTGGTGATTTTGCTGTCCTTTTTCAGAAACAACACGCATTTGGAAAGTCTAAATTAAGCTTGGCTTGTCACACAGGGCATTCTGCGACTATCCCTCCATCATCATCGTCACCATCGTCATCATCGTCGTCATCATCATCATCATCATCCCTGTCACCTAAACAAATCTGATTGCTGGTTGGTGGTATACCTACCCCTCTGAAAAATATGAAAGTCAGTCAGGATGATTCTTCCGAATAAATGGAAAAATAAAACATGTTCCAAACCACCAACCAGATTGCAAATGATGCTCGTCATTGGGGATCATCAACCCGAATTTGTTCGGGAAAAAACATCTTTGACACCACCAAGCAGAAATCATTTTCACCAAGCTGGTTCCCTGAGTTTCTGCACGGTCGGCTGCCACCACAAACGAAGCTCGCACCCTTTAGCCTTGCGACGCTGGGGTCCTCCATTGGGGTCAGGTGGTCTCAACCTGAATACTCTTGAGGGCCCCAGAATCCATCAAAATCCATTCGATTTGGATGCGTCTCAAAAGCGCAAACACGAGCAGTGTTTGCTGATGAAGCTGATCCATACAATTGGAGCATCAATCTGTGATAATCTGGTTACCCTCTGGTAAACATACAAAAAAACATGGAAAATCACCATTGAAATAGTGGATTTACCCATTGATAGCATGGTGATTTTCCGTAGTTTTTTGTATGTTTACCAGAGGGTATAACCCATTGACCTCCATGATATTGGTTTCTTTCACCAGGGTTATTTCAGGAAAAATGGACATGAACAGACATGGTGCTACCATCCAAATATAGGCTATTCCCGAAAATTTATGCGACCAATTCCAACATTCCTGTCCTATGTGGGCGAGTTCACACCAAACTTGCTGGTTGCTCTGCATGTTCATCAAGATATATATATATAGTGTATATATCATATCTCATATATCCCCACAAACTAGTCATCGTCATAAAGTACAACCCCTAAATTCAATATTTACGCCACAGGTTTGGGCCATTTCATGCCATTTCTGTCCACTTCCAAGATCTCGGTCGGCGCCAAGGATGCCAAGGTGCTGGTCCAGTGCAGCGTTCAGGTCTTCTGGCGGCGACCTGCAACGTTGGTCGATCATTACTGGTTGGTGGTTTCAACCAGGACTATATTTATATAGCCATATAATGAGCCATATAATAGCTGGATGCTTTTTTTTCCATGGAAAATCCATATATATATATATTATATATGTATATACACACATGGTTGGTGGTTTCAACCTACCCCTCTGAAAAATGATGGACTGAGTTCGTCAGTTCGGATGATGACATTCCCAACTGTTTCTGGAAAATAATCCATTCATGTTCCAGTCACCACCAACCAGATCAAAAATGGGCTTATATTCAATAATTAGTCCTTTTGGTTTGCTAGGGGGGCCGGGAGCTGGTTAATCCCATCCCATCTATCATCAACCAATGGCACTCTCATGGATTATCACAATCCATTGTGGGAAACCCCAAAAAACCAGCAAGTACAAAGGGACGAGAAAGGGTTTTGAACACTGCTCATGTGGTTAGAAAGATGTCCGTGTATTGTTACATAATACATATTACATGACTATATACACAGTTTAATGTGGTTTAAATATGGTTTAATGTGGTTTAATATGGTTTAATGTGGTTTAATATGGTTTAATGTGGTTTCATGTGGTTTAATATGGTCTAATATGACAAGTATGTGGGGAATCCTAGATTCAAATCTATGGCTATGTCGGAATGTTGCTACACGGTTCTATATGTTGATGGTATGCATTGAGCGAGCAAACAATGGTTATGAGATGGACAGTTTTTGCATGAGTTTATGATAGTTTGTGGATGTTTACAGGGTATAATAATGTATCATAGGGTAATATATATATATATATATACACATGTATACATATAATTATATATATATATCATTATGTATATATATATATATTTACATAACCCTCAAGAGTTCTTGTTAATGGACTATGCCAGAAATCCGAAATCCTGTCCTTGGTGCCTAGCATCTCTATACATAGCATGCACACGAACAAATACTGGGTGTAATCTGGTGGTTCCACAAAGGAATGATATATTTACATGGCTACAGGACACCTTGAGGCAACCCCAAAAGCTGAATTCACCGCAATTCAACGGGTCTAAAAAGTGGTGCAGATCCATGGAAAAATGGCAACTTTTTGGTGGAAAACGATGAGAATAAGATTGAAGAAACATCAGACATGTGGGATTCCATGGATTTCCTCATCATTTTTTTGGGATAGCAAAGCCACAAAGCCAGGCCATAGCCATCCCCGCCTGGCCCAGGCCAAGAATGCCTGTTCATCCGAGACCTTGCGCGTTTTTGGAAAGCGTTTTGGCAGGTGAATTTCCAATTCTTCAGGGTAAGGTATGGTAAGATCTACTGACTTGATCTCGAATCAATGGCGGATTCTACAGGTGCTGGAAAAAATCCATCAGTTTTGCGACAAACCTCCACAATTTGACGGGAATTTCATCATGCTAAACACATTTTTTGTCAGTTACCCTCTGGTAAACATACAAAAAACGATGGAAAGATCCACCATGCTATTAATGGGTAAATCAACTATTTCAATGGCCATTTTCAATAGTCATGTAACAAATTACCAGGGTAAAATTTGTGATTAGCCATTATTCACCATTATTAGCCATTATAATCATATACTTTTGATGATGGTAAACCTATCTTACCCCAGTTTTCTTCTTGGTTAATCCGAAGTTCATCCTGTGATGCCACCGATCCACTTGGCCACCTCCATTCCGCGCCAGCGCAGCAAATTCTGCGCAAAAGCCGCCGTCTTCTGGGGATCTTTGCCACCGACGACCTAACAGGCGCAGCTGTGATTCCACCATGAGAAAGCCACAAGGATGTAATCATCAAAAACAGGTGAATTTTAAATAATGAAAAGATATGATATAATATGACATGATATGATATGACATGATATGATATGTGCATATATATATATATGTATATATATATATATGACAATAATATATATATATATATAGTTACATATACGCATAAAATAATATCTGTGGATATATGATGATATATGATGGCGATTTGGCTATGGGTCAAGTCATTGGCTACGCCCTTGGCGGCAAGTTATTGACCCGTGGGACGGGTCAGTCAGAACCTTAGGATCTGAATCCATCCATTTAGGGCTGTTGAGAATCTTGATCCATACCCCTGTAATATCCTGTAATATTGTAATGTGGTAAACCCAATAATAAACCTGTATTGGGGATGGTCCAGTATATTGGCTTTACCTACTTATTATACACAACATCGATATGCTTAGATGCACTGCAAAACGTAGACAAGTAATGCATGACAACATATTATCATACAAATTTCTAGGCTGTCAAACGAGGCCATGAACTGAGTCAACGCAGACCTTCGCAAGGTCTCCGCTGCAGCTTCCAAGCCAAACAGGTTCTGGGTCATCGAAATTGGTGTGGAGCAGCTTAGGTGGAACGATTTTTGAAGATTCGTTGAAAAACACATGTCAAACTGTAGTTATACATGAATTATGATGAATACCCTCTGGTAAACAAACAGTTTGCTATTGAACATGGCCATTGAACTAGTTGATTTACCCATTAATAGCATGGTGGATCTTTCCATCGTTTTTTGTATGTTTACCAGAGGGTAAATCACCATTAATCACCATTAACCACTATTAACCATTATTAACCATTAATGGCCATTTTACTCAAAAAATGGCCCTTGTTGGTCAATCCCACAAATCCTGGCACTTGATGTGGGGTGGAAAACCGTACCTTCCATTTTTTGTGGATGCGTTAAACACGACACATACTTTCAAAAGCAACGCTTGGACAAGCAAACCAAATTTTGGTAGTAATCCAAGCCCCAAATACAGGAGCCTTCGACTTTTTCGTCACATGCAAGTGAAACACAAAATAAAACAAGCGGGTTTGAAAGCCAATAGTTCAGACTAGTGAATCTATATAGGTGAGACTTCGATTTTCCAGGTCGGAAACACAATCCCCGGTCCCCAACTTCGCAATCCATCCCTCCTAAGATATGAATCGTCCACGAATGAAACGTAAATGAAACTGTTTGTGCTACTCATCATCATGAATATCCTAACTGGTTGGTGGTTTCAACCCATCTGAAAAATATTAGTCAATGGGAAGGATTATCCCATATATTATGGAAAATAAAAAATGTTTGAAACCACCAACCAGTCATCCAATTTTATCCAACTTGTTCTTGTGACCTGAAGGCCACAGAAGCATCCTTGTTCTATGGAAACCGAGTCCCCACGCGTTTTGCCAATTCGCGACAGGCGCATCACATGGGCGTCCTGCGATCAGGGATGATCAGGCATGGCAGGGCAGGGCATGGCTAAACATCTCGAAGATAACGCGTCTTTATGGAGATATGTTGAATTCTAACCTCTAATCAAATCATATCAAATCTACATCTTCAAGAAGAATTGATGTTGTCATATATGTCATATTGCATGGGAATCTCATCAATGTTACGTCAACTCTTGCGATCTCTGCAAGAAACATGGGGCCTGTGTCGCCGCCGCAGAGCCACAGTTGTGTCTTCAACTGACTCAACAGGAGGTTGTACTCGCTGGGTGCCTTGGGCGAATGGGCTATTTTTCTAGGCCCTCCTGGAGCCATAGCTGGTTGTGGTTGAGCCGCCTCCCAGGAAACATACGGTGGATGGAAGAAATCCTGCATCACCTTGGATGGTTGAAACCCTATGAATAATGGGATAAACCACCTATCAACTGGTGCAGGATTTCTTCCATCCACAGTATCAAAAAAAATTGGGAACGTCATCCTAAACAGGGCTAAAAGTAAACATGCTTCAACCACCAACCAGGTCTAGTGACACGAACGAGTCTTGGAGGCGGCCTTGAGTGCTGTTGCACATATTTTTTGGACTTGCTTGGACATTGTGTGATGGCTGTTGACACGCCCAAACCGAATCTTATCTGTATCTATAGTCATCCCCAAATAGATGGAAAAGTAAATCCCTACTAATTTCATGGTGATTTACTTTTCCATTTCCATCTATTTGGGGATGACTATACATGGGTGTGTCTGAAAATAGTGTACCCCTAAACCCAATGGTTAATGATCATTATCCCTATTAAATGGCTATAATTGGGAATATACCCTATTTTCAGACAAACCCACATGTGTAGATGAGGTCTTCCTGACATTTGGGGACCGGGCCACCAATGCGTAGCTTTTCAAACCAGCATCACCTCCGAGCGCGGGCCAAGAGATACATGGGAGGTTAAAACCAGCCCCAAAAACATCGATCACTTGGATTCAACCCTCAAAAATCATCAAACATCGAAGAAAACATGGGGTTAAACCCCCAAAAAATACAGGATGTTTTTTTCCAACCATTCCCTCTGCCATACCCTGCCAGTCTCTGCGCTTCCCGGCTCACCACCGAGCCATGCAGCTCTTTGACCAAGGCCTGAAGAAAGACCTGAAAATATTGACGGCCACGATGGAAAGGTGGGTGAAAACATATTCTATGCCAGAATATGCCAGATTATGCCAGCAATGAATGGACATAAACATGAAAATTAAGGGATAATCATGAGAATCATGGGAAACTATAGGATTTAAATGGATTTAAGATGATTTTTTGTGGTGGAGGTTGACTGTTCGACAAAATGGGTGAATTGGGGGTGTCCTAAGCCATGGGCGACATGGCTAGCTATCCACATGTCTATCTTTAATGGACAAACCAATGGTTGGGGGTACTGACGGTGGTGGTTTGTGGAGGTGGATGTATTCTTCCGCTCCCAAGTGCTGCCGCAAGGTCCAGCAGCAAACTCCAATTTTCGCATCTCAAAAGTGAGGTTTTCAAAAATCCACACATCGTGATTCAATGTGATTAAACAGTGATTAAACCATCAAAGTTTAGACAACAAAAGTACGGCACCATCAAAGATGGAGGATTTGAGCAACATCTTAGACGATCCACGATGGATCTTTGTCAACAAACGTAGATATGATATGTACCCAACTAGCAATAATACTGTACCATTTATCTAGCACCTAACTTTGACCCAAATTTGGTGGCTTTCGCTATCTCGGAGAAGCCCAGCGATATGCACCAAAACTATTCATTGGCTTTTAACTCCAGAAGAAAAAACAGCAAAGGTAAAAAACTCGCTATCCAGCGTATCCCACAATTCTGGAAAGAGCTGCCCAACATTTCTGTGAATTGCGGTGGAGGTTGATTCCAGTTTTTTTAAGGGTTCTTTTGGGAAGCACATTGATCAAACAACCGTTTTTACTGGACAGGATGTGCGCCAACGGCCTCTTTCTCTGATAGCGAAGTGATATTGGCCCATGCCTGCGGCAGTCACAGAGGGGTGAGACGGCCCATCTCATTGATGTCGTAAGAAGGGATACCAAACTTCTTGGGTGCAGCCCTGATTCGATCTGCTTCGCAAATTGCAGAGCTGCTTCACCAGGTTGTGAAACACAGAGGAACATTTAGCTATTCTACAATTCCACTTGTTGCTTGGACCCCAAAAACAATTGTATAAGGTTACAGTTATTTCATTATTGCATTTTTTTTCCGCCATATTTCACCATCATTTCTGAGCTCCTGAGGTCAACATCGGCCTTCGCGTCCAGATTGGCATCTACCACGCAACTGACCTCAAGGGGCGTCCCAGGCACACCGTGTTTCAAACAGTATGAGAAAATTGTGGGATATTATGAAAAATGGTGGGATGGTATCACGTAATTAATCCCTTGTATTAATATTTCTGGGATATTATGAGATGTATATTGAGATATTAGGAGATAGTATGGAATATGTTTCAGAAAATTAGGATATTCAGATTGGGTACCAATGAAAACCCAAAAACATGGTGTATCCGACCCTGGCTTTTACCCAACCAATAGGGCTTGCTGTAGATTTTTCCTGCAACTGATTCCGTTAAAAAATGGGGATGTGGTTGTTGGGGGTACCTCATTTTTTGGACCCGATGATGTTTTGGAGTTCCCACGATTGAAATGGGTATTTTGTGGCAAACCATAGGCTGATTCCTGCGCCAGACATCATAGGGATGGAAACGAATAACGTTCGAAACCACCAAGCAAAGTGGTATTTCTTGAACAAAGAATGCAGTATTTTGCTGCAAAAAATCAGGAGCGGATGGTCGCGTGGTGCGGAGAACGGCTCCTTTTTGGATGGTGAGTGGTGAATGACCTCAAAGCCACACTCCATCACCACATCGAGGATGTGATGGCACTGATATGATTTAATGTGACCAATTTGACCAATCCACTATTTGGACTATGCGGAAAGCATGTGTGACCAGGTACAACCCTGAAATTGAACCACAAAACACGCAACAAAACTCAATTTTTCAAATGTTGGATTTTCCATGCTAGTTTCATCTAGTTTTCAAGGTGGTAGAACCTCCAACAAGTTTGAAAGAAGGCCTCCTCAGGTATCTTTGTTGGTTTATGTTGGCCCATCTAACTAGTTCGATATAATGTGTGTATATATATAAATATACACACATACACAGTGTACATATATATATATACATATATATATATATACATATATATATAATTATGTATATATATATATATATATGTATGATTATATGATATGTATCTACCACAAAAAATATTGCAATCACAAACCAACTTACCTAATATAAGTCAATCATAAATCCACATGTTCCACAAATTTTGATGATCAGATCCCTTTCCAATCGTTTGGGGTTTGCGCTTCCTGTGGCCACATCTCAGAGCGTGGCCAAACACAGCGCAAAAAAACAGCGGCGTTGAAACGCCTTGGAAGGAGCAAGGATCAAAATCGATGGACCCATGGATTTTGGCCACCGATTCCTTGATCGTTGACTTGATCGTTTACCCTCTGGTAAACATACAAAAAACTATAGAAAATCACCATTTTTAATGGGAAAATCCACTATTTATATGGCCATGTTCAATAGCTATGTTAAATTACCAGAGCTTACTTCTTTCTTCGTCAAGTTTGAAGAATATCCATCTAAGAATCTAAGACGACTTTTCCAGAACCACTACTTAGGTGAGCATGGGCCCAGTGTCAGGACGTCACGAGACCCTTCAAGTCGAAAGCCATCAATTTGATTATTGGTCTCCAGATTTGATGGTAAAAACCCGTGGTTTTCGGTTGTCCCTTATAAATTCCATCCATTGACACCATGCTATGAACATCTCCCATGGTCCCCTGACGGTGAAACCACCAGGAACCTTTTCAGCTTCAAACGTAGGACGTTGGCCGTGGCATGGAATGCAGAGACTCGACCCATCGTAACGAGTTCTTTTGCAAAAATGACGCTTCATATGGACTAAAGATTTCTGTATGTTGTCGATGTGAAAGATGTGCAAATCATGAAACATGCTGTGTATGCACTTTGTGGGTTTACCATAGTTCTCTAAAGCACGGAAGTCATTTGTCCCTTATGAATCCTTATGAGCTGTCTGCCTTTGCTATGGCTTGGTCAATGCTCTGCGTTTCCCGCGCAACTGAACTTTGTCAGTCACAGATCCCCACGTAGCTGGCAGGCTCCGCACCTCCCGGTGGTCAAAACATATCAAAACTAACAACAGACTGTCACCTCTTCCTTTATATTTTACAGGGAAAAACCAGCCACAAAACAACTTTTAATACTAGTTTCAATCACATTTTCACCAAAAACGGGACATCCAATGGACTTAATGGATCTTAATTCTTGGGTCATTTTAACGTTGTGGAGATTCCAGTGGAGATTCCCAGTGGAATTTCCCCATGGCGCTTTCCCCCATCCCTGGCGTCACTGCGCCAGGACCGTGGAGGACTTGGAGCGTAAGGTCATCAGCGACAAGATGCCCAAGCAAATCCTGGAGCTTCGGTTGGGGGGTGGTTTTTCAAACACCTTGGCCACCCAAAAAACGTCGAAAACATATCTGAGGAAGGCTGTAAATATGGAGAGTTGATGTTTTTCTCTAGCAAGATATGTGTAGATACTTATATATAGTTATCTATAGATATTAAATCCTTGGTGGCTGCCATAAATATCTGTAAACTTACAAATAATTCCAAGAGGGATACCCAAGGCCATAAACCCCAACGCCTTGTGGTTGAAGCACTCCACCAGGGGGCAACAGGACAATGGGAGAGGAACAACAACAACACCAACAACACCAAAAACACCAAGACCACAAAAAACACCACAACAACACCAACAACACCAACACCACCAACACCACCAACATCACCACCACCACCAACACCACTAACACCAACAACAACAACAACAACAACAACAACAGCAACATCAACAACGACAACAACCACAACAACAAGCAACAAGCAACAAGCAAAAAGAAACAAGCAAAAAGAAACAAGCAACAAACAACAAGCAACAACAACAAACAACAACAAACAACCAACAAACGAACAAGCACCAAGCACCAAGCACCAAGCAACAAGCAACAAGCAACAACAAACAACAAACAACAAACAACAATAACACCAACAACACCAACAACACCAACAACACCAACAGCAACAGCAACAACAGCAACAACAGCAACAACAGCAACAACAGCAACAACAGCAACAACAGCAACAACAGCAACAACAACAACAACAACACCAACACCAACACCAACACCAGCACCACCACCACCAGCAGCAGCAGCAGCAGCAGTAACAACAACAACAACAACAACAACAACAACAACAACAACAACAACAACAACCACAACGACAACGACGACGACGACAACGACAACGACGACAACGACGACAACGACGACAACAACCAACAACCAACAACAAACAACAAACAACCAAAAACAACAGCAACAACAACAGCAAACAGCAAACAGCAAACAGAAAACAGCAAACAGCAAACAGCAAACAGCAACCAGCAACCAGCAACCAGCAACCAGCAACCAGCAACAACAACAACAGCAACAACAACAAAGAGCAAACAGCAAACAGCAAACAAAAACAACAACAACAAACAAAAACAAAAACAAAAACAACAACAACAACAACAAACAACAAACAACAAACAAACAACAAACAACAAACAACAAACAACACACAACACACAACAAACAACAAACAACACCAACAACACCAACAACACCAAGACCACAAAAAACAACACAAAAAAAATCACAAAAAAAACACCACAAAAAACACCACAACAACACCAACAACACCAACACCACCAACATCACCACCACCAACAACACCAACACCACCAACACCAAATTCAACAACAGCAACAACAGCAACAACACCACCACCACCACCAGCAGCAACAGCAACAACAGCAGCAACAACAACAACAACCACAACAACAACAACAACAACAACAAAAACAACAACAACAACAAACAACAAACAACAAACAGCAAACAGCAAACAGCAAACAGCAAACAGCAAACAAAAACAACAACAACAAACAAAAACAAAAACAAAAACAACAACAACAACAACACCAACACCAACAACAACAACAACAACAACAACAACATCAACAACGACAACAACAACAACAACAAGCAACAAGCAACAAGCAAAAAGAAACAAGCAACAACAACAACAACAACAAACACAAACACAAACAATATTAACTTAACATACTTTGGTGCTGGAGGCAATCATTCAATGAGGGGAAACACAAGGATACGTATAGAATTCAACCAGGTATATATATATATACACACACACTACACACACGTATATAATATTGTATAATGCATAGCGGGGATACTTTCAGCCACAAGAAACAGAAAAGTACATCAATAATAATATATGATCATATAATAATATATATATATAATTACACACGAAGGGTGGTTCCAACAGTCATGAGAGAATTGGTTCATTGGAGGTCGTTGTCCTGGTTTGGGGGATGGAACAAGATTTTCTCCCTCTCCATAGTCATACGTCCCTGCTACCCTGGTGAACCCCAAAATAGGTGAAAAAAGCCGGACAAGTGGAAAACGATGTTCATTCCCTTTAACTCACTGCCATGCGCCAGAAAACATGACATCGGGTGTTTTGTCCAGTGCCAAAACATCCGGCACCAAGGTTCAAAGCAATTCCCACGCTGAATTCGATGGCGGCCATGGGCACCTGAGTGCGAAAAAGTGCAGTTGTGCCATGCTAGGGACATTCCAATTTCAGACACACCTATAAATCTTTATCTACAGGAAGCTCCTTGGTTTTGAACGACCAGTCTTGGATGTTCTTGTTTTCTTGGCTTTCAATCGTTACCTGGCAACGTGGTGTACACATACTATCCCAACATATAGTAACCATGTTGCCAGCACCAGGGAAGTTAATTGTTCTGTTTGGATCTGTTTGGTGGTTTCGACCTCCTGAGAAAGCCACAAACAAATCCATAGTGAACTACTACCCGCAGCATCACATTGTCAGGCACACTATGCTGTTACATCTAAACCTTGGCATATCGCATAATTCTCCCATGCAAACAATGGCGACTACTTTTCCAATGTCATGGCTAATCTATGCTAATCTTGGATATCCTGCAAAACGACTTCACTTTCGGCTGGTCCTACCTCGCCATAGAGGAGGTAACCGGTCAAGACGTTGCAAAGCAGTGAAGATGCGCCCATACCTTACGGCTCGGGGAGCCATGGAGAGGGAATATCACCATGGGGAGAGCATCTGATAGTACTTCCAAATCAGAAATAAACATATAAATAAAACATATAAAAACATGATACGAGTTTTTACCATGGCTTAAATTCGGTTCCGAGTTTTCTTTTTTCTGTTCCGGGATGGTTGCACTTACCGTTTTTCCAGATCGCCGCGAGGGGAGACCGGGGGCATTCACTTTGCCAAGATCACCATTTTCCTGGGATTTTGGGATTATTACGTAAAAGAATGTAAAGGATGTCAAAAGGTTGATGAGATGTCATTATAGGCGTGAATAGTCTACTTAATGGAGCATATTTTTTTGGGGATTTATTGATGATTATGAGCCTCTCTTTTTGGGTCGATATAATTTAATAGGAACCATTGAGCCCAAAAGAGATATTGTAATGGGACAATCATAGAGATATTGACCCAAAAGATATTTCCATGAAAAAACATTGATCACCGCTTGTTGATAGGGATAGCTTGACACTGTACAGTTTTCATTATTTTCGTTGTAGAGTTTCTTCTTTACTGGCGAACATTCCTTGATTCATACATAGATTAGCATAGATGAACCTCGGATCTCACATAGCGACAGGAAAACGGACTCTAAAGCAAAATTGTAGGTGCTCGGAGACATAATCACCAATGAATGCCTGGCCACGGGCATTCAAACACCATCGGGCTCTATATAGCTGAAACATGCTTCACTTCTCCACATTGCCTTTGCAACCCAGGAAAAAAAAACGCAGAAGTCTCAGAAGGCAATTGAAGAACTGAATAAGAATGGCAAATTGTTTGTTGCCACAAACTGATATACTTAAATAAAAAACTACATACCTGCTGCCTATGTATAGTGAGCCGAGGGCTCTCATATGAAAATCATCCAGACACCCTGCGGCAATCACGTTGGATTGGTTGGGGAGGTCGTCCTGACTTTCCCTTCCATTCCCCGAAGCCATCTGAGAAAAAACACCGCGCCTGCCATAAGATCGGTTCAGCACCTGGGCTGTGCCGGATCAGCTGAAGATTCTCTCAGTTATGGGGCCCTTTTGGCACAAGAAACAAACAACAAATCTGTAGTAAAGCTTTAACGGGGTCAACATATGGCAACATGAAGCTTCAAGGATTCTGAAAACTAAACATCTTGCAAACAAACAGAACTCGGAACTAAACGGATTGATAGGATCCATCTATCAGTAAGCAGTTGCGAAGACTGTCAAGCAGGGGCATTTTTTCTGCGAAACTCCTGCGCATATAGGTTGACAAAGACTTGGGGACTTGGACAAACATGATCACAATCCATTATCAATGTTTGTCAATCTCTATTTTGATCATCTATTTTGTACGTTGATCATCAACCATTGAACCTGGCTCCGGCCGCTTGCCTAAAGGTTGGTTGGGGGACCATGATGAAAACTGGAGCTGATTTGCATCTCACCTTAAGCGCAATTGCCACTTAGGTCCTAAGACTTAGGTATCTTAGGTTATATTTTCCCCCCAGGGCTGCAAGAAAGGTGCAACCATGTGCAACCTTCTGGTGGTTTCATCGAAAACCATAATCCCTCCCAGCCCATCAGCGATCCTAGCTGCATAGAGGTGTGCTGGTGCCACCAGCGCCAGTGGCATTGCAGCTTGAAACAAATTGGAGAAATCCGTCGCACTGGCTCCGCTCTCCGCCAACTCGGAGTTTCGTCGACATGCATAGGGAAGCATAGGGGATGCTGTTACAAAATCCATGTGTACATGATAGGGAATCCAGTTTTGTTTTAAAATGTCTGATTTCAAATGTTCCACCATGTTTGAGCATGCATCGCAAGACGTCATGTCCACAGTCTGAGATTTCCCACTCAACTCTGTTTGGCAATGGGTCACCCTGGTTGGTTTACCCAGATATCTACCAATTTTTCCTGGTGGGAGCACCACTTATCTTTCCTAAATCGATTCTGCTACCAGGGTTGACTTTCACGTCCCCCTGCCGCCATTCTTGCCGGTCAAATATCGATCCCACCATCGGATTTGTTGGTTCAAATCCATGGCTTGTCAGAAAATGTGACAAGACACATCAAGACACATGGCATCCAGCATTTATCATCAGTTTCCCCAAAAAACAATGATGCTTTTGGAGAGGTAGATACTGTTAGTTGAAATCCCATGAAAGCCCCATATTTTGCACACATCTGGCGCCAAGATGTGCCGAGAAGCCGTGGCCATCAGCGTCTTGCTGCAAACCACGCTGGAAGATGCTAAACTTCCGCCTGTGCCATGCGTGATAAATGGCTGAACCATTTAGGAAAATACGGCGAGTTTTGAAAGATGCTGCAAAGGAGTTGATTTTCGGGAGGATCATGAAAGACTCGAGCAAAGACTCGAACATTTCAGAGTCTTTAAACTGCTAAAAAGCAAACCATGACGCCAATGAATTAGGGTCTATCCAGAAAGTACGATGCTTTGTGGCTCAAAATAACCAAAAGTGGTTCCCTGCGTCCTAAGTTTTGACCCATACGTGAATAGTCTCAGGTGACCATGGTGGTTTCAAACTTCTGGTGTAGTGGCTGCGTCCTCTAGGTTTCACCAGCGAGGCTATCAACAAAACACCGGGAACATACCAATTTCTAAGGGCTCAACAACAGCAATCGCAGTTAGACACCAATTTTCACGTCACAAACTTCCATGTAAAACATCAGTGTTCCGACGTGACTAACTTTCATAAAAATGGACATGGGATGACATGGGAAGAAAGCAGCTCTAACCGAAACCCAACAGCCCGGGCCGTCCGGGCGCCTAAGAGTGCGCTGGCCATGACATCTGTGGAGGGTGAAAGAAACAATCCTTCCCATTGACCTTTGATCCTTGGCTCATCTTGTCAGGATGGGTAAAATTGGGCTCCTTCTTTTAAGGGTAAATGGCTTGGGGGATGGGGATTTATGGTAATTTCATGTAATTTCAGGGGAAGATTGTGGACACACTATCTATCTATACATATATATATATAATTATATATATATATATGTTATAGAAACTAGGCATCCAATTTTGAGGCAGTACCCATCAAACTCTTGTTCAACGGAAAGGCTTTTGCCCCGCTGGGTTGTGGAAGCATCATTCGGCCTGGGTTGTGTCTTGCTGCCGTTGCCTGTGGGACCGATGCTATGGAATCATGGGAATGGAGCTTCTTGTGTGTTGTTGCATACTTTTGGTCAAGTACGCAGAGTGGCAACTAGTAGGTGCTGGGTGGTTTCAACTCATCTCCAAAGTCCAAAGTATGATATAATATTCGTAAGACCAGTGCTCAGTGGACACACAAAAAATTGAACAATCGTTCAAAGTTGAAAATATTTTTGAAGCACCAAAAACACCTGGGGCTCACAGTGCGCCCCAAGCTATTGTGGCAGATGGGGTAGGAATCCAAGTTTTTTTCTCCCAGGCGAAGTGTTGGTGATTCTGCACCAACAGCGACTCAAATATGGCTGTGGGCTGTGGGTAAAGGCCTTTGCAATCTGCTAAACCTTCAGAAATAAAACGCAAACAGGTCCAAGATTCTGTAAGGCTGCTCACATCTATGTATTATCTGTCATCTATCGTAAACTAAATATTGTATAGATATATATAATATGTAGATACATACATACATGCACAATATGTAATAACTGTAATATATATATATGATTTACATATGCCATATATGTCATATAGGTCATATGATATATCATCATAATATACAGATATTGTATGATGTGTGTATCATTCAGCCATATTTAGCCAAGGTTTTTCTGCAGTTTGGTCCCAGGCTCCATTTATCCAGCTTCCCGTCCTTCACCTTTTCGCGTATCAACAGCGACAGGGCCAAGGTGGAGCACCTCACGGAGGCTCCGTAGAGTCTCTGGGTGACATGATGTCTGTTTATCATAGCCTGTCTAGATCAAACAATCTTCTTAAGGTATCTTAATGTATTTGGAATATGGATGATGATGATGATGAGGAGGACGATTTTCGGACTTGAGATTGCCTTTAGCAGTTCTTTCGTGGTACTGCCGGTGGCTGAAATAGCTACAGCACCCAACATTGGAGTGCAGCACTGGGGGCTGGTGGTTTCATGCCAGAAATATGAAAGTCCCTCTGAATAATTCTGAGATTGACAATTACAGATATTCATGTGTTGTCCGTTCATCCCAATCAATCATCCCAGTTGGAATGGAAAAAACCGCACATAAGCTTGATATGGTTTTACACCACCCGAGTGGACCATTCCCACTTGACCTGCAAGTGCTGCAAGTGGATCTGGTGTGCATGTTTTGTTTTTGTTTTCTAATGAGCTTCCGCTGAGTAAAATGCGAAATTCGGAGAGTGCTTTGGGATAGACATCTTCTTGCTTCTATATCTTCTATTCTGCCCCATGTGAGCAGCGACTAGTTTGGGACTGCGTTGGGCTTTCAAGTCATCTTGGCCGAGAGACACAAGCAAAACACATCCCGCATAGACGGCATACATTTCCTTGGCACGCAGGAAAACTCGCAGCCAGCTGCGGAAGCCACAGAAAAATCGTGGGATAGGGAAGCTGAAAACTTTCTGGGTCCATGTTTAAGCTCAAAATTTGAATTTAACTTGCACATCACAGTTTCTAGAGGTTTCTATTCAATATTGGAAAGCAATCAAGTTTCAAGAATATCTCGCCATCAAATATAATTTTTGCCAGCTTCACCGAATGAACAACACTCAGACTTATTGAATTTGGGAACTTGGGTACGGTAGATTTCTAGGGTTGATCAGTAGTGCCTTTCCTTATTGGACAATTACATCCAGCTGTAGATCAAAACCATTTATCCTACCAAGATAAGCAAATTCACAGTTCCAGCTTAGCAGATTCGGAGGGTTGCAATCTTGACAGCTACACATGTTGGTTTTGACAGAGAAACATCCCTGGCTGAAACACCTAGAAGCGCAAGCTAAGCCCCTGCAAGATGATTTCTATTCCCTGTCAGCCGAGCTGGCAGCCTTCAGGTTCCACAGGTTCCAAAGGTTCCAGAAGGCTTTCATAATTTGGACGCAAAAATCGGTGGAATTCAAAGGCCACAAAATTGGGAAAAGAACTCAAGATGTATGGCTATATATATGGCTGTATCATATATCTCCGAATCTCCCTTGTTGTCAATACCTCCCATATCCACTATGCCTCCTGCTTTAAACTCGGTGTTCGATTCATACAGAATGCTGTATCCCAGCAACATTCTTGCCTCACCTGAATTTACCAGATGCTCCTTGACGGCCAGCCATTTCGGCTGCTCAATGCATCAGGCGTACTGAAAGATCCAATTCAAAACATCATCCGACCTTTGCGGATACGATATCCAACGACCATCTGTTGAGCTGGAGCTGGATTTTTAAAATCTAAGCTACCCAGCCCTGGCACTTATTTAGGTAAGTCATGCCAGCTTCTGTGCCCAGTCTTGTGAATGAAGTACCAATTGCCGGCGATATCCCTAGACCCTTGGAGGACACCCCCGGTGTCCTTTTTGAAGAAGAGAGGGCCAGCATTTGGAAAGGGAAATAGCTGTAGGTGAGTTCACATTGGGATCCCAGGGTTTTTACACCAAAATCATCCAATTTTGTGTTCACCATCCATCAACTGATGCTCCCATAGAGTCTGCAGCCAATCCACATTCCATCTTGATTGGATTACTGCAAATCCGCCGACCCCGGCCTTCGCCAAGGCCGGGGCGGCGCCTGGGACCACCGCAGGTGTGGAACTTGTCCTGTCGGACCACTGCACGTGCGGAACTGGATAAAACCTTTCGTGGCCGCGCAATCCAAACCGTTCAAACCATCAAACCCTTCCAAACCCTCCAAACCTTTACCCTTAAACAGCTTCCCCAACAGGCACCCCAGGGCCAGGGCCACAGCAATGACTATCTATGGGCTTTCAAAGCTGCCGTTTGCCAGCCCGCAAACGCTCCAAACCCCTCCAAAATTTCAAACACCTTCCCCAACAGGCACTCCAGGGCCAAGGCCACTTCTCAAACAGGCACCCCAGGGCCAAGGCCACAGCAATGGCTTTCTATAGGCTTTCAAAGCTGCCGTTTGCCAGCCCGCAAACGCTCCAAACGCTCCAAAACCCTCCAAACCCTCCAAACACCCTCCAAAACCCTCCAAACCCTCCAAACCCTCCAAAACCTTCCAAACCCTCCAAACACCCTCCAAAACCTCCAAAACCCTCCAAACCCTCCAAACACTTTCCCCAGCAGGCACCCCAGGGCCAAGGCAACTTCCCCAACAGGCACCCCAGGGCCAAGGCCGCAGCATAGCTTTCTATAGGCTTTCAAAGCTACCGTTTGCCAGCCCGCAAACGCTCCAAACATTCCAAAACTTTCTAAACCCTCCAAACCCTCCAACCACCGTCCCCAGCAGGGACCCCAGGGCCAAGGCCACTTCCCGAACAGGCACCCCAGGGCCAAGGCCACAGCAATGGCTTTCTATTGGCTTTCAAAGCTGCCGTTTGCCAGCCCGCAAACGCTCCAAACGCTCCAAAACCCTCCAAACCCTCCAAAACCGTCCAAACCCTCCAAACACCCTCCAAAACCCTCCAAACCCTCCAAAACCTTCCACCCTCCAAAACCCCCCAAACCCTCCAAACACCTTCCCCAACAGGCACCCCAGGGCCAAGGCCACAGCAATGGCTTTCTATAGGCTTTCAAAGCTGCCGTTTGCCAGCCTGCAAG